ATAATTAACTGTTTTTTATATATATATATCCTACTTTAAAGCAGAAAGGAAAGTTTTGTTTACAGTATCAGCAGCTGCAAGAAAGAGATCAGCAATAATTCGCACTATTTCCTCTTCTCTTAGCTTGTCTTGCAAAAGCATCTGGCTCAGGACGCCCTCTACCGGTTCTCCAGTCTCTGCCTTAGAGAAGATTTCTTTAACGTTATCTTCGACGTAAGATCTTGCTGTAATAAACATTGATATTTCAAGCTAAAAAGTTGTGTTCATCTCAGTTTTTCATTATTATACACAAATTAGAAACTTACTAAACGCTTGTCGTTTTTCTGATTCTAAACGTTAGTAAGATTACGTGATTTGAAATAACACACACACACAAAAGATTAATTATGATTGTAAAATGCAAGGATTCGGAATTTAAACGCTATTTTAAATGTAGAGATAAACTTAACTTATATTTCATATCTTCTTATCTTTGACATACATTTATCGTTCGATTATAGGAAATTGCGTTTCGTAATTGGCTTAAATGCTTCATAAATCTGGGAAAGCATTATCAAGCAAATATTATAAACTAAAGTACTGAAATTGTTTTTTTTTTTGTTTTTTTTTGTACAAAGCCAAACACTACTCATTCCGGGGAGTTGAACCCCGGACTTAGAGCTTTAACAACCCGTAAACTTACCGCTTATCCACGGAGGGAAAAATACTGAAAATTAAATTTATAATTCAAAAATGATTCCATGAAACAATATTGATATCAGATACTCTTGTTTTTATTTATTTTTAATATATTCTAAGTATGTATTGACATGATTTATTTATTTCCAGTTAGAAAATGATGTATTTTAGCTGCTAGTGCCATCTATTGATTGGAACATATAATAAACTATGTAGATACATTGCATTTTACTAATACGTAGACAGAAAAACAGTTTACATCGAACAAACACATGCTGTTATGAAACACAAGATCCGAAATGTTTTACGTAGCATTTCTTTTATTTATCTACTTCGTGTACTTCCGTAAAGCAGAATTCTGTTTGATTAATCACTGCAATTTGCATGTTGTACTTTATGTCCAAACATAATTTAGCATTATTGTGATTACATAAAGCACAGGGGTTTAAATCAGAGCCTTCTCTGCGCAAGTTGAATGAGGTGCAAGAAACAATAACTAAAAATTAGATCCAATTGTACCCGAATTTACCTTTATACGCAAGAAATGTCTCACCTAGTTCCAGGGCTCTGTCAGCTGCCCGAATAAATCTCTGCCATACTGGTAACTTGAGCAAGTAGGCAACCCGAGGTGGTACCATGGTCATCTGCGCAGATTCAATGAAGATTTGTTGGACGCAGTGAACAAATTCGTGGACATTGTCAATCCTACTGTCAGACATCACACAACCTAATCGTCGCCCAAAAATCATCGTTCCTAAGGCTTAGATAAAGAAACACGCAGTTTTATTAACTATAATGAGTGATAATAGAGTTTTGTTCTTTGTGAAAGATTTTCACACACAAAAAAAAGGAAACATACCAAGTGTTATTGAGCTAAGTACAGCACTTTGGTTTCATTATAATTCCTGCTTTATAAAATACTTTGAAATATTTTAACTTCAGGAAATGCCTCATAAAATATAGGAAGTTTCTATTTCAGATATGAATACATGTAATATACAGGATACATCTAGGTTCAAAGATATGGAATAAATAAACAAAATACTATGGAGAACCCCTGACAAACTGTATTTTTGCCGGAGCTTTGAAGTACTGCGGGTAAGAAGGTATTGTTTAAATTTTTGTGAAGAAAAGAAAAAAAAAATATGTCAAACTAGCAAGAAAACACGTCTTGTAATAAATTATGTCCATGAAAGGTAAAGTTAATGTCAGTTAATAAAATGAGTTTCCGTGCACACTAGAGACAAAAAACAAAACAAAACTGGATGAATGAATTTTAGCAGATACTATTTGACCTTCTCTCCTTTCTAGGGTATCGTAGTAGATATAATATGTTAGTTTCATTTATAGTAAGTTTCAACTTAAACTCTCTTTTATTCAGTGGCCTACAAAAACGTGCTTTCATATTACAATAAATGTAGACCGAAATGGTTATCACGTTACTTAGGTATGATGAAATTTTCCCTCTGTCATATCCCTGCCATCCTGAGGAGATCTGGTATTGAGGGAAAGGCCACCTCGGCATTGGATGTGGCAGCATGGGCATCCGCAGGAATTTTTCCAGGGGGGACAAAGTTTTCCAGGGGGGCAAAGTAGTGTGAATGAAAAAAAAAACTCTTATACATATGTTTAATGAATAAAGAAATAATTATGTTTCTCATTTTCTGGGGGGGGGGCAAGTGTCCCCTTGCCCCCACCACTGTGGACACCCATGTATGGCACATATAGTATGGTTGATATATTGTTATAAATTCTCTTATTTTCACTGTTATGTTCTTATATATTCCTCACGAATATGAATTAGTATGCGAATTTTTTTACTACCTTTCCAAAGACAACTCAGTTATACTAATTTATCAAAAAAAGTAATAATTTCTTAAGTATAGCATCGAAAAATAAAATAATAAATTTACTTTATATTCAATGGAGAAATGCAATTATGTGTAACAGATTTAAGAAACAAAATATCACAATAACAAATATCTAGCTGAAATATAGGTTATACCAGTTTTTACTGCTTGCTTTAGAATAACGTGTTTAATATTTTGGTGAGATCTACATTCTTTGGGGGAGTAATATTTGCAAACTGTGCTGCGATGCTGATAAATTGGAAGTTATTCTTGAAAAGACTTCTGGGATTTGATTAGCTAAAAAACTAATTCAGATGTAATGTTACAAGCATTTTTTATGATAGTTTAATAATAAAATAAAAATTGTTTAATTTTTCTAATTCAACACTATTTTTACCTTCGTTCTTTAGAATAACGAGATATCCGAAATAAGCACATGTAAAGGTATGGAACTGCTTTTGATTATATAAAAAAAACGCATTCTAACCCTAAAAAACGTGTGATTTCGATTATATTCCGCACATCCACACTGATACATGGCCAGGTGGTTAAGGAGCTCGACTCGCAATCTGAAGGTCGCAGGTTCGAATCCCCAAACATGCTTGCCCTTTCAGCTGTAGGGTCGTTATAATGTGACGGTCAATTCCACTATTCGTAGGTAAAAGAGTAGTCCTAGAGTTTGCGCAAAATTTAAACCTAAACACATAGGATCCATAACGCACTTAGTTTCGTGATTCAGACAGTTTGCTTATTGGGTTTCGCAAAAAGCTATACGAGGGCTATCTAATCTAGCTATCCATAATTTTGAAGTGGTAATAAAGTAAAGAGGAGGCAGCTAATCAACACTACCCACCGCCAATCCTTGGGCTACTCTCTTTAGATCGAATAGTGGGATTTGACCGTCACTCTTATAGCGCATTCATGACCCCGATTTGCAGAGCGAGATTTGTTTTGTTATTTTTGTAGAAACGGGACTTGAACCACAGGCTTTAGTTCCGTTGTCCAGCTCGCGAAACACCGGGCAGTGTTTGGCTCAATTCGGACAGTATTTGTTTTGTTTTTTTTATAAGCTATAATATCTCATTTTATAAATTTAATAAAACAAAACAAATAAAATGTTATACTCACAATCAATAGACCAGTTGTACAGCTCTCTCTCCAGATCTTTCAATTCCATATTTTTATTCCGCACACTTCGCCATCTGTTCAATAGATCACTGATAACATCGTTGAACACCTTGGCTTGACTTGAGACGGTCTGTTGTCGGAACACTTTGTTCAGGCTCTTACGACGATTACCCCATTGAGGACCATCCCTAATTCAATAATTAATAATATTATAATAATAATAATAATTCAATAATAAATCAAATGGCATTTGTTTATAAACCGTCACACTTCCCACTTAAGCCTAATGACGCAACTGAACAAAGAAATTCGCATTATAACCATTCATTTGAAATTTGTTTAATCTGAAATCTATACGAAAGTAGGTAAAACAACAACATCAAATATGCGAGTAATTAAGCACCTTAAGCAATCTATGAATAAAATAACTTACGTATGGTACCAAATAATTGTTCAAACAATAATCATTAAATAATATTTTCGTAATGACACATAGGAAAACATAAAACCGTGATATTACAACTACGTATGTAAGTTCTGTGCTTGGGAGACTTTCATGTACACAAGTGCACCTCGATGAATATGCAACATGCAGTATTTATGTCCTAACATGTTTTCGGAGACAACATTGCTGTAACAACAATTGAAATGCATGCGTTGTGTTAGAGCGTTTATTCAGTCCGTAATACAATGTTTAGGAACAGAAATATATAATCAATTTACCAATAACGCTAAAAGAGTGCGTATTACTATATGGAACAACAAAGAAATACAAATGCTTATAAAATTAGTTTGAACTTAATAAAGTCGAGTTAGATTGATTCAGGAAATATAAAAATATTACGACAATTATCGCCTGTATTACTCAAATGTTACGTCGAAACTTTGTGTAATACAAAAAGCAGTTGGTAAAATAATATACATAAATGTGTCATGGCCATGAATTGCGCTTAATAGTACAAACTTACATAAAGAATAACCCACGCTGGATGCCTTTGATTTCATTGTATATGATCCAAGGCTCTGGGACCATGTGCAAAGGATATCGGCCTTCGTTTTGATAAACTCGTTGTATCAGCTCACTGTCTGCTATGAAAACAGCTTCGACGGCGCCCAGTTTCTCGCGATAGATATTGCCCAGTTCCTTATGCCGCCTGTCACAATACTCGTGGATCTTTGGAGCGCCCCCGCTAGCTAGTAAATTAAAGGTTGTCCCAATCAAGGGCAAGCCTTTCGGTGAGGGAATGTCTTGGTAAGGAAAACCCGTGGCGTAGTTTGGGGTTTCTACCGGGTATGGTGCTACAGCCGCCGGGTTTTGATGACGGTGATGGAATGGACACCTGGTTTTAGCAGGCTGTGTTGAAGTTGACGTCAGGCTCGAAGTAGGACTTTTTGACGTGAGACTAGGATGTGGTAAACGAAAGACGAAGTTGTTCAAAGCGGGTCGTAACTCTTCACTAAAGAAGCTAAACAACCGAAGAGACGCTTTCAATGCCATGTATGCTAAAATGTGTGTTTTATTTAATGAGACAACTGTTCCAAAGTTCGGCTAATGAAATTGTAGAGGGAGCGCTATACCGTTGAAAGTACCCCGTGCCACGCGCGAAGACTGTAAAATGCAGTCTGACAGCTTTTCGTTTGTGGTTTTATAGCACAACCTACCACCCGAATAATCACCCTGCTACTTCTCCCTCGGGCATCGCGCGCGGGCACCAATGCCGGTCTAGTGGAGTTGGATCTATAAAGCGTAAGATTTAGACCACTGTCAGTTTACCTGGCTAATGCTTGTGTTATATTGCAGCTCATGTAAAATATAGAGGGGTAGGTTTTATAGAAGATTTAGGCACATTATAATGCTAGTATAAATTACTTACACAAGAATACTGATTTTAGTTTCTAGAATTTCGTGAAATATGCAAACTTCCGTTTCTCTTGCCTTAGGTGCATATAAAAAAAATATTATTTGGCAAAAATAAGTTTCTAAGATTAAGTAGCAATGAGCACATTATATTTTAATACATTTATTTAAAGTTACTCGTTGTAGCACGTATTTTTTCGAACAGTAGCCAGTTGTTATCACATTCGTTTGTGCTAACTGTTATTGTATTTGGTTTAGCAGTGTGCGTGTATGTCACATCGCCAGTATCAAAAGAAGTGTAACTGAACGAAAAAAAAAACGATATTCTGATTCTGTTAAAAAAGTGGCTTGGAAAAATGGAGTCATTAAATAATTATAATATGTAGGTGAAACATCATTTGTTAAATTAACGTTAATAAATAGCTTTTATGTTTTATTAACATAGAGCGGATATGCCAATGATTTTTTGAGTGATATTGTATAGAAATTACTGAAGATTGCTAGCCATTTAACAAGTCAAATCGCGAAAACCGGCTTAAGCCTAACTGGTTGACTGTATACATCTAATTGTACTGATATATAGTCGTAAATTACTACTTAAATGGCAGATATTGCAGTAAGTCATTAAATCATTTTAACCTTCTAGTAACGACGTGAAAAATTATCCAGATAAGAGCGTACTTGAATAAAGAACAAACATGTTTTATTTAAAAAACAACAACAACAATCATAATATATACTTAAAGGCTCAGTAGCAAGCTTGAAGGCTTATAATGTAAAATTCGGGGCTCAATCCCTGTGATGGGCGCAGCGTAGATACATTATGTAGTGCAACTTTGCGCTCAAACAAAACAAACAGAAGCATGAAATTCGAACATCGTAAAATATTAAATACACTTTTTTTTTTTAGTTAAGTGTAATTTGTCTTAATAATGTTGTTGAAGCTTATGCTACATGTACGTTCTGAATGTAGTGACGACTTAGAAAAGAAAAAAATATTGGATATTTTTAGCCGCGACTGAACGGTTCATAGAACGGCTCTGAGTTTTTTCTTTTTTTTAAGTACAAACTTTTAGCTTATGGCTCTGTCATCTCTTGACAGATTTGAGATCTAATTACAATTTTGGACTCGGGAGGTCAAATCCTTTCGATTGATATATTTAACCACGCCCAAAGTCTCATAGATTAATTTATCGTAATTCTGCCTAAGAGAATTTTAATTTGAGGGTAGGCTGATAAAGATCATGATGAGTACTAAAATCGAATCGTATATACGCGCTCCCCACGCTTGGTATTGATGGCGCACAAAAATATAGCCAATAAAAAGGGAAACAAAGGTCTCATAGATTAATTTATTGTATCTTGCCTAAATGAACTTCAACTGCCGCGGCTATTGAGCATTCCCTCTTGTGTTTTTAAGAAACGAATTATTTCTATTATTCGTGCTACTAAAGTCCCCCCCCCGTGGGTCAGCGGTAAGTTTACGGACTTATAACGCTAAAATCCAGGGTTCGATTTCCCGCGTCGAACAGTGTACAGATAGTGCAGCTTTGCAATAAAAATAACAACAGTTGCTACTAAAAATAAAATAGGATCAAAACTAGATGAATCACTAAATAAAAAACGAATCACTTACGAAGGCATTGAAGTGATCATATTTCTTATTTCATTACATAAAGCAGATACTATTTGTAGTAGCTACAGACATTCTGTAGTGAAAAATAAGATAAAAATTTTAGTATGTAGTTTTAATGTTTCGAGATAAATGTCCCTTTTTTTTCATTACAAATTCCTTTTTATGTAGTATTAAATTATGTTTACTATATTGTGCGTTTAATATGATTGGATATATGTGTGTGTGTGCGTTATTACGGTTGGCTAGGTACATTTTCCTTCAGTCTGTACGTTCGTACTTGAGAAAAGACTATCTGGAGTACCCGTCCGTTGGACGGATGAAATAAAAACTCATTTGTAACAAAGGATAGGAAATTGTGCTTCTATTTTTTTTATCAACATGATAAACATTAAAAGTGCAATGAAAATACATAAAGGTACCGATACTGAAAATAAAGACATACAGTTTTCAAGAATTCTAACAATAGTGTTACATTGTTCATTCTAATGCTGAGGGATATACAACATTGGTAGTATTTCCAAAATTATATATGAAATTAGAGGAGGGTCCAAGCCCCCCATGACCTTTCTCGTGTCATATTGTGTCACTGTGTCAAGTTTGATGCTGATTGATCAAGAAATGTGGAAACGTATACACACTCGCATATTGACGTTTGTTTATATAGATAAAACAATTACTTTCAGAACACTTCGCAAACACAAATCCACATGAGTATGTTGTTTCAACAATTGTATATACCAATCAAAATAGGTTATATTCATGAACTAAAGCATGAGAAATGCTTCATACAATAAAATCTTTTTATTCCTGTATATCCCAACTGTTGTTTGTTACTCTAAAGATCCTTGGTATGTCAGCGATAAGTCTACAGACTTATAATGCTAAAGTCTTGGGTTCGATTTCACGCGATGGACAGAGTGCAGATAGACCATTGTGTAGCTTTGCGCTAATAAACATCGTTATTATATAATCAAATATTATAAGAACACAAAGCGTCACAACGTGGTTATGTTATCAAGTTACGCTTTCGTGTGTGCTTTGGAGCTGTACATATTTTAAACAAAGAACGTGGACTTGAAGAATTAGTAAGAAGTAGGTACAAGAACAGACACTACTGACCTAATTAAACGTGTTTCTTTTTCTGAAATTTGAACAATTTATTCAAATATCTACTTACAATATATCAGAATACTCAGACCGCTTATAATTCTTAATACGCCTATAAACTGAAGCGACGGTTGTTTTTGTTTGTTATGAGACACAAGGATACACAAAGAACTATCTGTATTCTGACCATCTTAGTTTTCGAAACTCGATTTTTAACGCTATAAACTCGCAGAGCTATCGGAGCGCGACGATCCTTCAAGCGAGCATGTGTTTGGAACCCAAAGACAATGGAATGGATAACAATATCTTGTTTGTTCACCTGAACAGCGCTTTATATACACCACCTACTCAATGGCCAGTTAGAGCCTTCTATGGTTCAGGCATAGCCGTTCCTAGTTTTAAACCACTGTGCAAAGGAAGGCAACCCACCTGAAATGCTTACTTTTAACCGAACAGTGGGATTGACTGTCAGTGTTAACTGTCACAGCTGGACGTTCGAAACGTGTTTTGTAGCACCATATCTTCAGGCTCTCGAGTCCAGTATGCTAACCATTAGGTCACGCTCGAGCGAAAGGTGGTAGAAAGATGTCAGCAAACAATGTTGAACTGTGGAAGTTCATCTTCCCTTCATATATTTACATCTTCATAGCTGAAGATGTGGTGGCAGTGGGTCCATCTTCTTGTTAAGAGCTGGATTTCTTAGGTTAATGGGAAAATATTCTAGTATTCTAAAGTGGAATTCTTCCCACAACTGGAGAATGCGTAGTAAAACTTGGACGTAGGCATAATATCATGTTAGACAGGGGTTGATAATACTACTACTGTTGTAGGTTTTAGGGAAACAGTGTTCTTGTATTCGACTTCAAGAACCTTCTGGTGGTTGATCCAACATATATGTGGTTGCACCTTGGGCACGTGAATTCGTAGCGAGGTATTTAATGGTTGTTATTTGTCTTTGAAGTAGAAAAGCCGTTTTAACATAGACTTTGTTTGAAAAACATGTTATCATTGATTATGAGATGGACTGAGAATGGTGTAGGAGTAATGTTTAGGAAAAATGTTAGATATTTGTTAATTTGTTTAGCATAATTTGTCAAAAAAGTAACTATAAATGTGTAAACAATAACTGTGCTAAAAACTCAGGTTAACAGCTGAAATTAATCCGTGCAAAAATCTATGTCTTCCAAGGTTCCTATTGTTGTTGTCCTTGTTGACTGTGGACTCCAAATGATTGCAATTTTTGACTCAAAGAACAACAAGCCAGTTCTTGGCTGCCATAATCGGACACTCTAATGACTATATGCTTTAAAAGTCGACTAACATGAATGAAATAAATAGTAGAATCGGACCAAACTACAGAAAGATAATTATGTTTTCAGCTGTTTACCTATAAATACCAATGTTTCTCTGAATTTAATGCGGGCTAAGGTTGCCCAGGAAAGTCAACAAGGCTTCTGTATATCTTTGACATAAGAAACTTTCTGTTATGACAAGTATTTTAACTGATAATATAGGCTTATGTTAGCTCTGATACAACCGTATTCATCACAGAAGTTGTGAGCCTTAAACAGAAACATGACGTTGATACGTTTTGAACTGCGCATATGTAATTGACGATTCTTTTTAACCAATAAACATTTCCCCTCAATTTTGCATATAATTACATAAGCAACGTAAGCTTATTAAATCATAGTATTTTGTGGAGTATGGTGCGTTTTTTGAACAGTTGTGGTCTGAAGTCTACATTTTTTATGTTGTTGTTTTTATCTCTTTAGTAAGGTTATTACAGATGTAAGGGATGGCAACTATAGCTACTGAATCTGTAGCGTGCGTGTGTGTGTGTGTGTGTTTTTGTTATTGTTCTTATTGTTGTTTTTTATTGTTATTGATGATTTGT